GTATTCTACATACTAAAATATGTAAATGTGAAATTTGTTTCATTTGTTTTTATTCCCTCCTTATTCATATGGAATTTGTAGACAAAAATTAGAACAGTTGAAAATATCCCTTCAATTTTAGAAATTTTGTGAATTTTCATCGTAAGAATGAAATCGTATTTTAATAAAAAATACTTCGAAACATTGAAATAAAACATTTCATCATTTTCTCCCCTGAATGTTACAATAATTAACCCTATTCGCTCATTGTAGAATATTTCCTTGTAGTTCACAGCAAAAAAATCCTTCTCAGATGGAAATTATATTGCAACATATAATAATATTCAAAATGTCAATTCTGGCGCAATAAAAGTTTTCAGTATTGAATGCTTGCGGATATTTTAGAATTCTTCTCAGAGTTTATCATAAACAAAAAGCTAGTTAAATCGAAAATAGAATGCTCAGGCTGTTAGTTTATGCAAATTTATTTCATTTGAGAATTATTTCGAACCACTACATCAAATGCATAATTCACATTTAAATTATGTACATGAAATCCTAGAATTTAGCAGAATATCGTAGTACGTTGTTTACTCATTACAATAAGTTTTGAAAATTTGTAGAACTATAACTGTTAGTGTGAACTTGAATTAAAGATTCCATAAATACGAAAACGAGTACACAACAAAAAATCGGTCACTTCCTGTATCCAAACCAATACCAACCAAAAGCGGCACTCGCCGTCTTTTAAAATATGATTGAGGATTTCAAACTGGCGTTCTATCAAGAACGATGTTGAATTGAGATAAAGTCAATACCAATATTTACCTTAGATTAATCCTGACGTGGTTATTTCCAATGTTCAAATGTAATATCTAATAAATCACTCTGAAATTAATATTATCAAGAAAATTTTCTTTAAACAACAAATGTATATTTCTTAAATTTAAAGTTTATTTAAGTTCAAATAATCTATATAAGCTATAAACTCATAAAAACAATAAAGAAATTGCTGTCTTCATACAGAAAGACTCAACGAATATTTTCATTTTTCCCTTTGATGTTTCATTTAAGAAGTGTGACACATTAGTGGATGAAATAAACAAGCAAAGAGAATGAAATGAAGTTCAAAAAATACATTACTCAATATATGGAGAGTAGTTTTTCGTTAAATTGAGTAAAGTATTTCGAAGTATATTTTTATACTTCTTATCAATGACCCAAATGTTGTTGGTGAGTTCATCTCACATTTTATAATGATAAAAGAGGCTCTTCCTTGTTTTATTTTTTCTTAGGTTATTTTTATGGCATCAATTACCATTAGTTACTTTGAATGTCCTGTGTTTTGTTCAAAATCGTGCTCAAACACATATTATTAGTAGTTAGCGATTTTTGAAAAGGGAGAATCGGAGGTTCTTCCCATCGTTGCAAGCTTAAAAACCTTTCAACTGGATTAATTCGTATGGAGCAGTATAAAGTTTTTTTTTGTTTATGTGCCCTAAAATCCAAAAGTAATCAGATATGGTTCCAAGGGCACCCACATCAATTACCTGTTATCTCACGAAGAAGTCAGAAGTATGCTCGATATGAAACCTATCTTCCTATCGAGCATAGGAACCCTATCGAGCATTCTTACCGGATATAGAGATCTACGAACACAAATGGTCCAAATTTTTAATTATAGGGAATCCTATAGTGTCCAGTGTTTCCCAACAGGTGGTCCGCGAGCTATGCCAGAGGAGTCCGTAAGATGCTATCTGAATGGAACCTATATTTCATATGATAACAGATTTTTCGTTTTGGCCGCTGCCTGCATGAACTGAGTTTTAGAAAACCAACCTTTGCTAAAGTTAGCGTTCTGCCGATAGCCAACTGACGATATCACAATCTAGCGTAAAACTAGAATAAGATTTTAAGAATTTTTTTAGGAAGTTTTTTATACTAAAACCCAGATTTCAACACAAAGATTCTGAGCAATAATCAAAAATTTAACAATAACATTGAAGAAATGTTAAGGTCAATATTTTTTCAATAATGAACATGTCAATGTTTTTCTTGGTACCAAAAATGAAAAACGTATAAAAAGACTCTTAATTTGACTTTTTTAGGTACTTGATACAATGATACAAATAAACTTGGTATTATTTGTTTTACATAAAGAAATAATAAATACCTAGTAGCCATGTATAACTTATCTATTTACATTAAGGGGGTGCTGACAGGGGGGTCACTTTTTAATTTTAGGATAAGGAATTGATGAAAACAACTGCTATAGAGAATCAGACGCAGAGATAGGAAATCTGATAGGAAATACCTACACTTCGGGAGGTATTTCAGCAAAGTCTGCCTACACGCTTCGACTTTATTTTTCTACAGCGTCATTGACGCCCTTTTTTTTGTTGGCAGTTTGAGACGAAAAAAAGGACAATCGTTCTGGACAACGGATTTCAGCCAGCTAGAGACATAATAATTACTTCTATCAATGTGAACGACCTACGAAACACAAGAATTGTTGGTATTAATAGTTGGATGAATAATGGGTTGGAATATTTACATTATAGAGTGTTTGAAGCATATCGAACATTACTTAATCATGAAAAGAATGCATGTTGCTATCTTTTCTGAAAGATTCGTCTTTAGAAGATAAAAAGATTCGAATCTTCCTTGAAGATTTGAAAGATGTTTCAAATCTTCAATTTAAGCATACCAACCTTAATCGAATGAATTAACTTGGTTTCAGTTTTCCTTTGCAGAAATCGATGGTGAAAGTAAATCAATAAACATTGTAATGAGAAATAAACATTGTCGGTGTTAGTAACATTTATAAAAAGACTATGACGGCTTTCGATGCACGTGTTGGGGTGTTTATGAATGCAGATGTTGTGTAGTTAGTAGTAACCATCGTATTTACAAAGATCAATAGCTAACATTCGAATACCAGGCTAAATAATACCCTACATAGTTTCTCGAGCATAGAAAATCTTCATAAAATTGAACTCTGGTTATTTAAGTATATACGTAACTTTTTTTTAACATTAATTGAAAGACAAAACTAATACATTATATTAATTACAATAATCTCATAAACAGTGCTTGAAACACTGGTATCAGAGAAAGTATGTTTACACCTAAGCCCAAATCAAAAAGTGAAACGCCACCATGCACTCACCAACAATTAGGCAAACATAATGAGCATTTTCAATCTTGTTGCTCTAAATAAAGGTAACCCATAATAACTTTATAAACTCAATAAGTATCATAGCTAATTAATGTTGTATTATTTGTTATTCAAATATTATTTTAAAGAAGTTTTAAATTCAGTAACTTTTCCTATTTCTTATATTATTTGGTAAACTTTCATATCCTTGAACCGACAGATAGAACGGATTTGACAAGCCCTTATTCCTTCTGACATTCGCAAAATAAACATTGTTCCGTTGTCTTGTAGAATATAAATATAAGTCTCTAGAAAATCTGAATGCCTTATTTAGTTTTTGAGTTTTATTCAATATTCTATGGACTATTTTGCATTAACTCAGCTTTAACATAATACCTCAAGTTTGGAATATAGAGTTTTTGTACAGAGCTGTTGTGGGCATGAGCCAATCACATTTGAAGAAAATTCTATTTTGCAGAATTTCAATTTTATTAAATTCACTTAAACTACATACATGATCCCCACATGGGAATAGGATATTTCAGTATTGATAGGAAATAGACATTGTACATATTAATTTTACTTCGATTTGAAAGATAGTCTCTTTCTGCATACAGACTTCTCAACATTGAATTTATTCTTTTCATTAAATAGGTTATATGCTCGCTCTAATTTAATTTGTCATCGATAACTAAACCGAGATATTCAATTGAGCTTACTTGTTCCAAAATGGTATTGTTGATTTGCCAAAGTGGGTGGCTGACAATTTAATTTTTTTGTTCAAATAACATAAATTTTGTTTTTTTAGCATTTATTTTAAGTCTATGGTGTAACAGCCACACACTATACAGGTCCAGTCATCGTTTATACTTTTTTGGAGATCAAATTCGTTATTGCCACTATACACAAGAGCAGTATCATCTGTATAGGTGTAATAGCATCCTTTTAGTGGCGAACACCTCAAATTTAAAACATAGAGTAAGTAGAGCAGGATTCCCGAAACAGAGCCTTGCGGAACCCCGCATTCAGTGACTAACTGCTCACTCGAACCTAACAGAAGTTTAACATATTGATATCTGCCTGATAACTTGAGTTATAGAACTTCGTTATCATATTGAATGATGTTTATCTACGAGATTCGTTTCGGAAAAGCTACAAATCTTGTGTCGAAATATAGACGAACTAAACAGCGACTGAAGAGTTATTCTCTTTTTTCAATTGCTAATAAACATAAGCAGATAGTTAGCTACTTTAAAGCAAAAAAATTAAGATAGTACCACCTCAACATCAACGAACTACAGACTCTTCTCAACTTTACGGCACAAAACTCAAGGGCAGAGTTTTCTTCCTTACAAGTTTCCTATCTTCAAGTGAAGAGGAATTTTAAAAAATCCAATGATGTATATACTAATGACTACAAACCGGATTATAATCATTTACACTAATTTTTAATGAAGTACATCTACCCTGCCTTTTAAAATGCGATAAAAGTGATAATATCATGAATCCGACCACATTTACTCACAAAAAATAAGGGCTATTGAATAATAATAACTGTGGCCGTAATAAACTTTGGCCGATTGCTTTCTGGGACTCTGGTTGGTTAAAAAACATATTCAACGATAACCTAGGTTTTGATGTTTGTGTTGAATCAATAATTTCATAAATAGGACGGCAGAACTTTTGCCAGAAACAATAAGTGCTAACACATCACCCAAATGCAAAGTCTGCCAGTTATCTCAATGATGCGGACCGAACTTTTTCCACTTAAAAAAATATTCTGAATGAACGAGGACACAATCATACCAGTGAACACTTCGAAAACTACTCGATTTCTTACATTTGCAAACATTTTAAATAATTAGCCGGTCTCCGTAGCTTAGGCGGTAGAACATCCGACTATGGTGCGGTAGAACTAGGGTTCGAGCCCCGCTGACGGCATGGGTGTTTATTTTTGTCTATGATTTAAGTAGTTTCATGAATGATATATGCTGGGTAATGTACATTGATTACAAGCCTAATGGCCGTTCGAAACAGGCGTCAAATTGAAGGTCCACTTAATTAAAAAAAAATTAAATAATTATAATATCATGTAATGTTACTGGAATGTGAAATGCTACCTATGATCGCCTGTCCATAGTAAAAGCACAGTTTACTATTTGTATGCTGATTTTGAAATTTGAAAATGAAGATTTGCTTTAAATTTTTTTGAGTTTCTGAAATAAATCATTTGATTTCGCATATTCTGCCAAACTCGTGCATATTTCAAGCATTTTCCTTGCATACTTGCATGCATATAACAAGCTTCTCATATTGCATATAGTCCGGTGCCGGTAATAAGAACGTCAAGAATCCCAGGCATGTTTCAATAAATAGTTATGTTTTCGCTATGATGGTTAAATCCTACGGTACGTAAATTCTATTTTTTGAACAGTTTCAACTGACAGCTTAAAAAAGCTCAATCAATCAGTAATAAAACAAAGTGTCTTCAAAATCTAGAGGAAAATATACTCTTCAGACCTGTAGGTACAGCAGAATGAAAAATCCTACACACCCGTATTTCAAAATGAAAAATTGTACCCTATCCAAGAGACTAATCAAAAAACTAATCAAAAATTAATAAGTTTGCAGTATGAATTATATTTCAAACTATTCGATTAATTTGCGAACGTCTAAACCAAACTTCAAGAACGGTAGCTACTTATCAGAGCGACGGTACAGAAGTGCTTTGAACTAAAAGGTCTGAGAGCATAATGTTCCACTACCAGAACTATTAAATAAAATAATAGTTACTTATGATCGACTTCAAGAAGAGCAAAACCATTCGATTCTGACAACATTGTTTGTTGAATTTAGGTGATATTTAGAAGAACAGCATATTTTGTCAGTCTTGAGAACTTTATCATCTTCACTCTCTTTACCTGTTTTGAGAACAGCATATTTTGAGCTTTGCGAGTCTCGTGTGAGGTATGACCTTCTCTGCTGGGGTCACGCTAGTGGTAGAGATAAAATATTCAGGATCCTGCGTCGCATGGTGAGAATTGTGGCTGGACTGGACTACAGATCTTGCTTTCGGGGGGCATATAAGGAACTTGGAATAATCTCGTTTCCAGGGCTTTATATCTACGAGTGTTTGCTCTATGCCAGATCAAATGTTCATTGTGCCACTCGAAATATCGACTTTGACTCCTATAACACGAGGGGAGGAAGTGATGTTAGATCATTTACTTTTAGGCTGTCCAAATACCGAAATGGTGCTAACTTTATGAGCTGGAAGTTCTTCAATAGACTGCCTGTGAGAGTTCGTGAGATGACACAATTAAGCTTTAAGAAGATCGTCAAGAAGTTTTTGATAGACAAAGTCATCTACTCTATAGATGACTACTTTGAAATTGACTTTAACTCCATATAATGCTATATTTTGCTGTTCTTGCGCTTTGTATTTGTTTATGTTAGTGTTTTTTTTTCATGAACATCTGTGATATGCGGGGTTTTATCCGTTGAATATCATTCTATAACTACATTGATTGATATATTTTATACTCTGATTTCTTGACGTGTGTAAGACATTTTGATGTTAAACATTTTATTTTATATCTGTATTACTGTTGTTCATCATGCGTTTATAACATAAATAAACTCACTTACTTAAAAAAAATCACGTTACACCGATTTATGATGAACGAAAATTTTCATTAAATTGAAAAGAACCAATTTAGTTTCTATCGTGCAAAATTTCTCAACTACTTCAAAAGTTATAAATATAAGATGTCACTCAAAATTTTCATTTCGCAACTTATCAATGACAAATTATAGAATCGTGCAGCAACCGTTGTTTCGCTTACATCATTAATTAAAACTGCGAACTAGAAGTAAGTATGTAGAAGTCGAGGCGAAGCCTTGATGATGTAACCTTGCGAGCCACCTACGCCAGGAAATTTAAAATCAATGATCAAGAGGTGCGACATAATATTGTGTTGAAATGAATAGGTACTCTTCAAGGTGAAATTAAAAACTAATAAACCTTCCAACGAATACGAATTAAGTTTACTTTCGGCTGAACTTTTGGATAGATGATAAATGAAATGGATTATGAGTACCGACTAACGTTCCAAGTAAAAGTTCTGAAAAGTTCCTAGGTGAAGTTGATACACGAAACTTCAGTCGAATATAATCAATACAGTTATATTATGGGTATCTGCAAGATATTACTTGTTAAAACGGACAACTAAGTAGGCACATTAACTCGCATGACGTGAAAATAGAAAAAGATATTAAAGATTGAAAGAATCATTATAAAAATTTTTTTCACATCTTCTATGAACTCAGCAGTGTTTCTCTCCTTTATGGATATGGGTCTTTTTTCATGAAATTCTGTATTATATCTTACGATGTTACATCAGGTCAATTCTTTGAAACTACTAACTTAAAGAAAATAAAATTACTATTTATATTATTAACTAGCTGACCGGGAGAACTGTACGCCCATTGATTTTCATCTGAATATTTTTCAAAAAGCCGGAAAGACATATTCTACCATTTGCGCTACACTACCTTGTTTTTAATATTTATCCCCTGTAGAGCCAGGGACTCACTGAATTACGAAGGGATTGCAATATTTCCTGTTATTTCTCATCAGTCGAATCATCGAAAAATGCCTATATTAAGACGTTTGATGTATTGAAAATTATTAACCTGTCCGTTCTATAGTTGAACAGCATGTTCCTAATTTCGTATCAAGTATTTGTCTCATATATTTCATTATTAATCATATGAGATATTTACTGGATATAAGTCAAAAAATGTTCAAAATTCAGTCCATTCCCGGAAACCAATGAATATAGTGGCTCTAGTGGCTGTACCAATATCGTCTATTTGAATTGAGTCTTCGCGCAATATTTTGTCGCATCATTGGTAGTATCTTCTTATCAATAACAATTAAACTTTGCATTGCAATATTGACACACAACGTTCATTGGTCCAATAGCAACGGTTTGCTGTGAACTGTAATCTATTTAAACTTTATAATTTAATGCAGGTCGATAGCAGTTAAAAGCAACCTTTTCATATTGTTAATTTCGATTCTATCGATTCCGTTCAACTTCATTTCGAGCTTGGCGTTGCTCGTCAATTTGACTTGCTCTTTTATATATTTGACTTTGAGAATTAATAATTTTTTCCTACCTATATTATGAATTAAGTATTCTTGAATTTTCTAATTTTACACGCAATTTTTTCAATTTTTTGCATGACAATAACAAAAACAACAACAAAAATTAGGAAATCGTCCTTGCCTTAAAAATGGGCTGTTTTTAGGGTTTTCCCGGCAGTTATTCGAATTTGTTTCGACGTTAAAACTAAAAACTAAAACTAAATTGGTCCAGGCGTTGTTGAGTTATGCGCTTGCCAAAACATTTTGCGATTCATTTTTATATTATAGATTGAAGCATCATTTTTAACTTTACATAGCTAACTGATTGAGAACTTCCAATGCAAAACGACTTCACTTTCACCTTTAACCTTCACTTCCAATGTCACTGTTCCATTCACGCCGGTGACATGTTCATTAGCAGATGTAGTATTTTTTGAATTAAATTTTTCATTATATTTTCGTTATCAGAAAATTGGTCTAAAAACTTAAAGTAATTTGAGTATAGCACCTTCATCAAATTGACACAATCCACAACTTTGAAATATTTTGAAATAATAGAAGACGAAAATCGAACATGTGAAATGAATCGTATCCTGATTCCAATCAAACGTATATTTGTGTAATGAAATACACAATTATAAAGACAAAAAATTTTAATTTCAAACAAACGGAGACTCATTTGGAATTTGTAAGAAATTAGAAAAATAAACCAAAATGATCCGATAGAGGAGCCCGGTCGGAAACCGGTGCCGTTACGTTATGCAAAATGGATCACTATCAAATTTCACTATTCAATTTAACATTTGTACTCATTTTCATACATGGAACAATTAAAAGTCATTTGCTTACACTAGTTCTGAGGATATTGTGGATTACTTGCGAAATAAGGTTCTTGCCAGATGAAATTCATTGAAGAACGACCGCTGTTGTATTTGAATGTTTTCTAGTTGAGTTGGAACATTTTCTAGACTTAGCATAGTAAGTAAGTTTGGAAGTCAGTGACGACGAAATTGAATACTTATGTACCTACAGTCAAACAAAAGATACCAAACTAGTCATTTTAAACATTTATATTGAGTAAATCCAGAAAGTTCATGTATTCGTGATGGTACCTACTTAGTACAATCTAGTTTTACGCAGTTCTTGCTTCGAACTGTAGTTCAGAATACATGTCTTCAAAATACCCAATATGCCAACTTCATAGCCATTCCCAAAATTGCGAACTTTGTGAATGTTCAAGATAGTACATGAGTTCGGAAAAAAATTCGGTGCCCCCTTCCTACGCGGGCGACAAAGAAACTTTTCACATAGAAACGTTCAGAATACATGTATCTACAATATGTAATATGCCAACTTCATAGCCATTCCCAAAATTGCAAACTTTGTTAATTTTCAAGATAGTACATACGAGTTCGGAAAAAAATTCGCTGCCCCCTTCCTAAGCAGGCGACAAAGAAACTTTTCACATAGAAACGTTCTGAATACATGAATACAATATGTCTCTACAATATGTGATATGCCAACTTCATAGCCATTTCCAAAATTGCGAACTTTGTGATTTTTCAAGATAGTACATGAGTTCGGAAAAAAATTCGGTGCCCCCTTCCTACGCGGGTGACAAAGAAACTTTTCACATAGAAACGTTCAGAATACATGTATCTACAATATGTAATATGCCAACTTCATAGCCATTCCCAAAATTGCAAACTTTGTTAATTTTCAAGATATGTAGTACATACGAGTTCGGAAAAAAATTCGCTGCCCCCTTCCTAAGGGGCGACAAAGAAAA